ACCTGTGCAACATCCTGATTTTCATCACATTTGTTCCTCCCAATGCTTCGTTTTTCCAGCCTCATTCACGGCATTCATTATGATATTGCCCCACATCAGACGCAACATATCTGATATAATAGGCACTTATGTCACTGCTTCTATTAGTCACATGTCATTAAAATGTACAACTTCTCAATTTCAACCATTTTTAGTAGTGCATCAGTTGTAAGGTAACAAAGTCACGGTAGAAAACGTAACTGTAATTTATTTAATAAAAATTAATCAGAATTTAGACAGGTATTGTACTTTCATCTCGTCCATGTTCCATTTACTCTTCTTCATTTTTGAGCACTGGAGGCAGTCGCTTTAGCATGGAATCCACTAGGTTGACTGCCAAACAGAATTTGCAATTNTCCTCTAATACACTGCACACCTTAAACGCCAGCGACCAGTGGCAAGGTAGCTAACTTATTCCTGTTTCTGATAGTTTCCGATCAAATTAAAATCCCAGGTGCTACGCGTTAATAAAACCAATTTGACATTTAAATCAACCCCTCTAGAAACTGCATAAATGTGAAAAAATAATATTTATTTAGGTCTCACCGCTTTCTACCACCAAGCTCAAGCGAGCTGATATGCTAACCGTCAAATGCGAAAAATATGACTTCCGCGAATGCATTTTTGGAGTGACAGTTATCAAAAACCTCCCTTATCAGTGCAGAAAATTTTGCTATGTCCATATTTGCGTACGCAGGGTACCAAGGACAATGCGCTCAATAATCATATCCCTTTCAACTCGTTAGGCGGTGTAGATATTTACTTCTTTTGACAGGTAAAAAGAAGTTCATTAGAAAACTGGCTCAGTAGATCAGCTCTAACCATATACTGAATTACCCGTTAACCACCAGTGAGATAAACCCATTAACAAATGGGCGGGCGACGCAATTTAAATTTAATGGTCAAATCAATATACGCTATGCTTTGTTGGGCGTTCCATAGCAGCTTTATATCTCGTGGCCTCAGCTGCATTTCAAATTGAGCCATCATTTTCCAAATAAAAGCGTGAGGAAAAAATGCCTGATCAGCCCGGACTATCCTCCAGATTGGTTCTGTGCAATTCTTCACTGCTGCGATCAAATACAACCATCATCTTACTTTGCTAGGGCCGGTTTTCTCCCTCTCCGTTTAAGTCTTGATGAAGAAATTTCGTTGAATATGCAACAAATTGGACTTATGTTCACATCGAAGCGCTCCCACAAGATATCAACAGAGTCAACAGATTTATGCGCCTCTCGTTTAAGTTGCCTCTCGGCCTTAATTATACGCCAAAACCTTTTGAAAGTTTCATCCGGTTTGGACATGGTGACACTACACGACGCTAATTCAACGAGCCGCACACTTCAGGGTCAACTTTTGAAGTTCAACTTGTGTGTTCCTTGGACAATGTTTTCAGTTCTTCCGGTAGTGAAGATAATGCGTGAGTAGTGTGTAGCCTAATAATTTATCAATTTATTTAAACTAGAATATTTTCAATAATTTGCTTATTTACCGTGCACTGAATAAAAATAGAATAGAAGTTTAGAATGCGTGTACTCAACGTAATAGAAACTCTCATGGGGCAGGAATCATCTATTAAAAATAATGAGCTCCCATGCTGCTTTGCCCAAAATAGTTTCTGAATCAGAACTGTAACTTTCGAACTACTGCAAATTTTATAGCGACACTCAAGGTCGCGCACATTCACATGGTGACAGAAATGAACTACGAACATAGATTTTGGAGATTAAGTCAGGAAAAAATAAACTTTACTTGTAGCCATCTATATATAACTATGATATTGCAAGCTAAAATGGATTTTCAAAATGAGGGTGATGTTGCACGAGTTTGGTTAACACCTGTACATATATATATTTTGAAAAGGAGAAGACGAGCACTGAGTGATAGTATTTATTGTGACGTTTCGATCCAGACTAGGACTCGATAATATATAATATATATATATATTTGAGAAATCGGTTACATTACCGCTGCTTCAATCAATCAATCCGTTGGGATCCGTGAGTATCTGGCTGGAATCTCATTAAGTCAGTTTGGTGTCCAAACTTCACCATCGCATGTGCATTGTCAATCACCGTTGTGCAATTTGATGAACCGAACCAATCAGAAGAGCGTAGCGTAGCGTTCTTCGAAAAGTGTCTCCATTTATAATGCGTGTGTGTAAAAAATAATCGAATGCACACGATCCAGTACATGTGACATTTGATCGTAGAATTCCAGTCGTGACGAGCTTACAGCACGATACTCTTTTGTGAACAGGTCTGTTAACCGCGCATTCTATAATCGTGATGTTATTCTTGAGACTTCTTGTTGATGATTTCCAGCACAACCCTTTCGCTACGGACTATCGCGTCCTTATCAAAATTTCGGTCGTCCTGTATCTTGTTGGTATATTGGCATATAAAAGGCTATTGCCAAAAATATAGTACAAAATTATCGTGGTACCCGTATTTCGTTGATATTCTATTGGATTCATTCATTCATTTATCTTTTTTTTAACTGAAAAAGAAATTTTCTTATTCGTTTTGTTGTCACATGGAAGTAGACAATTCAAGTTCTGTCTATGACAAACATCAGTAACCTTCATTTTCTTTTGTCCTCCCACAGTTCCAAAACGATTTATGTGGTCGCTCAGTTTAAACACAAGTCTCTTGGATCAAATAACTGTTACTCGTCTCGTCCTGATCTCGACTCACTACCTTAGTTGAGTGATTGGTTGGTGTGACAACTCGGTCGCACCGAACAATCTACAGATCGTTTGGGAATGCTGATCTGCTTGAAACGCTTCCGATTTATTCCGCGCATTCAACCCATGTCCGGTTGGCGTGTCCGTAGTGTTCTGTTCGCATTCTGCTGGCTTCTACTTGCACTGTGCTGTCTGACTGTGTTGTGGAAAGTGTTAGGCTTCCTGTTCTTATCACATCTGTCGTGGCACGGTGCGGGTGATTATGTGAACTGGGATCTATGGACTCCGGCTATAAATGTGTTCTCACAGCCCACTTGGGGCATTCGTCAATGGTGGCCGGTGTATGTGGCCAAAAAGATTATGTCGTCCTATGGCTCAAGTGTGGTACGTCATGTTCTCCACTCATAATCTCCCAGGAGATTTTCCGTTTGTGTTCGTGACCGTGTCCAATCAGTCCTTGTCATTTAAAGCTACTTCGAGCTTCATTTTAAAGTTCCTGTTCCCCAGTAGCACCCACAAATTTGACTCACCATTATGTTTCAGATGCCTCAATATCATACCCTTTGTAAACCGAATACCGTGATGCATTCTCAATATGGTTCTTTTTTTCTCTGTTTCAACATTATTTAGAGTATTCGTGTGTTACGTTCATTATCTATAACCAATGCGCTACCGATTCCATTGCCGATCTCTTCTAGTCAACCAACACTCCTTTTGTCTTCTGGTGTGTCGTTTTCCGTTTTCGTAGTGATCTTCGAAGCTCGTTTATCTCCAGTCAGTTCCTCCAGTCGCAAATGAGATTTGTTTTACCTTATCCACGTCGAAAGTATGGGTATAAAAGTGACTAGGAAACGGAATACTGGATACGCATAACTGATGAACGGAAAGAACCGCAAACACGGTCGTGTGCTTCTTGGAAATTTCATACTGCCACTCGTATGATACTTATTTTAAAACCCTGAAAGTCGGCCTTGACATCAAGTTCACGCATCTTACCTACAAAAACTAACGCAGCATCATCGTAGTGATTCTCTGAGTCTTGTTTGTTTTGAATCAACTCCCCGAGCTGCGAATGAGATTTATGTTACCTCATTCTGTACGACTCTCTAAATAGTTGCTTGGCTTTTAAACTCTCGATATTTGTTGCCCAACTCATGATCGGCCATTATTTGTATGTCTTTCTAGTCAAAACTCTATTGCTCCAATCTCATTGATTCGTTTACTTTCACCTGCATCTTTCTTCTCGGTCTAATCGCTGTATGGTCGCGCATTCAGTTTGTCTTTAGCAGTGTTTCACCGTTCCATGATGCCAGCCATTTGGACGATCCACGATCGATCTACGAACGGGAACAAGCACGCCAACTGTTGACTGCAGTTGTTCAAGGTAACTACCCATTTCGGTTGTTTTTATTTCAGCCTGCTGTCGGCCCTGTGCTGTTAGCCTCATAGTGCCTCATAGTTTAACCGCAATTTGAAATCAAGCTCATTCTCACATTCCGAATTCGACCAGTCCGTGTCTAATCTCATTTTTGTGCATTCTTTTTTCTCGTTAATAGTTCAATCAATTAATGACTATCAGAAACCTGTGACTGCCCGTACTGTTGGTTCCAGATGACACTGATGAATTCGGATATCCATCATTAACCGGTGTCCTCTTTAGCGGTGGTGTGTGTGAGAGAGAGAACCAAAGTCCAATGCATAAGACTACTGACTGTCCAATCCGCAATAAGAATCACAATTAAAACCTACTTGTTTTATTGTGTGCTTGAGAATATGGGTTCTTAGGGGACAAGAACCGCGATTAAATATTGGGTGTTGCGCACTCCTGCAGTTCAGCGTTGTAGTTTCTGTAACGCTTCAGTTAGTCACGGTGTTCGGGTTTTTTCATACCAATTCGAAGTTGAAGAGACAGTAAAAGAAATGCGTCACAGCAATGCAAAGGTTCATCGATATCGTTTACTTGAATTTTCTTTTCGATTGGAATATTCAGAATGTACATGCACAAAGTTGCGCAGATTTTTAGAATAAGTGTTTGGAGTAGAAGAGGTCTGCTTGCGTCATTAGTTGTGCACAGGTTTATTTTGAAGTAAAGAAACGGGTTTTGAGGTTAACGTCTTCATCATCCGAGCCCAGGTTATTCGTGATTCACCTTGTCGCCTCTTTCAGTTAGTGTCTGCTTTCGCAAACATAACGCGATGGGGTTGTCGTTGAGCCGGTATCCGCAACACACGTCCTAGCCATCGAAGTCTCTGGAGCGAGATGAAAGCCCTCAGAGGACGACTGAGATTGTCTTCGGCGAACCTGGTCTTTGGTGATTCGCTGTTGCCAACGTATTCTGACGACGCAACCAAGGCAACAGTGGTCAAAGACACTTAATCTCCATACGTCTTCCGCGTGGAGGAACCAACTCTCACAGCAGTAGAGTAAGACAGTGAGTACTGTGGCATTGTAAACACGGTTTTTCAAGTAGAGACTGAGGTTGCGTCGGCGCCATAAGTGACGTAGGTTAGCGAAGGCGACTGAAGCCTTGCGGATGCGCACTGAACATTTCTTCTATCAATCCTCCTCAGCTGAAACAACCCCCGTGGTAAGTAAAGTGATCGACGATTTCCGAATGGTCGTTCATGGGCATAAGGACATGTGTAGCCTCTTACCAGTCTTATGGTAAGACCTTACATTTCGATGGTGAAAAGGTCGTATCAAACTGCGTGACCAACAATGCTAACTTACACAGGACGTTTTGAGCGTCCTGGGAGAAGTGACAAAGTATAGCAATGTCGTCAACATATTTTTAATCACAGAGTCGATCACCTGGGAGAAGCTGTACACTGGGAAACTTTTCAGTTTGCTAGAATGCTGCCAAGGGTTTTGTCTATCGCAAAATTGAAGAGGATGGGCGGAGCCGGGCAACCCTGTCGCACTCCCCTTATGATGTTTTGCGAGGGGGAGATGCGGCCATAGACCTTGACGCGGCCTGATGTTTTCGAGTAGACGGTTTTGAAATGGTCTGCGTACTTCTGAGGCACACCACTTCCTAACAGTCCGTAGAGAGTTTCTCTGTCAGCTGAGTCAGGCTCAGCACGTATGTCCAAAAAGACAACGCTGATCAGTCTACTGAACGTTTAACCTTACTCCGAAATCTGACGTAGTGTAGACATGTGATCAACGCAGCTCCGGCCGGAGCGATTGGCACTCTCTCATCCAACTGTGCCTGCGATGGATCAACGGTGTTACCACCTTGGATGCAACGTTGAGACTAATCCCTTGGTGATTGAAGCAATCGTGGCGGGAGCCCTTCTTGAGAACATGTTTCACTTCCGCCAGACTCCATTCAGATGGAATGGATTCTGTATTTCAGATGGGATGGAATAAGGAAGTTAGTTCTCAGACAAGGCTTGCACCCCCGTCTTTGAAAAGGGCCAGAGGGAGCTCATCTGGGCCGGCGATTTGTGGCGTTTCAGATGTCTACGCTCTCGAGAGACTTCTTCTTCGGTCGGCGATCAAATATCCGCAGACCATGGAACACTGCATGCATCAGGAGATGTTCGTGATGATACCAATGGCTCCGCCCAAGCCGACGTCGATGTGATTTCACTGACGCATGGGTTTTTGTTATCGGAGCCTCGAATTAGTCGAAAAAGTTTGTGAGCATTACCGTAAGCGGAGACTAGTTCCATCTCACGCATTGTGCCCGCCGGGTCTCTCGATCCTATTTTAGGAACCGTTTCAAATCGGCACAGAGTACGCGAACTGTGTTGTATTCAGTACCTGGAGGGATGCTTCGACGAATGTCCAGCAGTTCTGGAGAACGTGCCGAAAACCAGTGATTGACGGTGCGTTTGTGAAACCACATACGGTGGTGGCAAACTTCTGCGTGTCGTTACGGATGTGAGTCCACTAGTTATCAACGTTAGATGATGACAGACTGTCTAGATCAACAACTAACGTGTTTTGGTAGGCGGTAACAACGTTTGGGTCGGTCAGTTTCATCAAATCGAATCTTCTCGAGTGACGTTGCCGTTTTCCATCAAAGCGCAGAGAGAATTTCACGCACGCGAGTGACCTGTGCTCCAGATGGATTAGCGGTCTGTTATGCAGTCTCTCCATCGATAGCTGATGACAATATGATTTCAGTCCAGAACTGATCAGACGATGGTGGTTGCCAGGTAGCACGTTGGCGCCTTGATCGGCGAAAATTGGTGCTCGAAAGTAAAAGACCATGCTCAGCGCAGGTTCGCGGGAGACGGTCGCCGTTGTCAGTTCTAACATCGAGGCTATGCTGGCTCCTAAGCGAGGTTTCTTCAGCATCTAACCTACCTACTTGCACGTTCAAGTCGCCGGCTAGCATCACAATGTCATTATGTGCTCTACTATGGAGGAGGTTGGAGAGCTGATAATAAAAATCGGCTTTTATATGTTGGGACTCTCAGTCCGCAGGCGCGTAAGCCATGCTAACAACCAGTTAGGCCCTTTTACGAGATGCTCTTACCGATCTTCCTAGACGGATGGCAGAGAGTCGACTGTTGATCGGAATTCAGCCTAGTTAAACTGTTTCTGCACATGCTATGAGCGCGGTAATATCTCGGCTTAATCAGCGACCTCCGACATCGCATCTCCAGAGGGGCGGAGGGTGAACGAGCTTTGAGAATTCGGAGTTGGTGAAACGAATCGCTGTACGGTCCTCCCAGTTTCAGTTCAGTTTGAACAACCATTAATCACGCATATTCGTGCGCCGGTTTCGGTTGCTGTCTTTTGGCTACCCATTAGGATGAAGAATAGGAGAAGACACGAAGGTTGAAAGTGGAGTCGAAAAGAAAATGGAGAAGTTCATTGGTCTAAGGTTGCAAAGAGATTGAGAAGATGCACGAACACCACTGTTTACGACACCCAACCATATCACCATATCGGTTGCGATCATCCCGAGGTCCCCAGCCAGGGAGCCTAACACTACCTATGTGACCCAGTCTC